TCGTGTCAATTAAATTGCGATTATAAAGCATCTCAGTGGTGCATTTAAAACATGTTCCCGATGTATACAAAACTGACTGCAGATTTAACGTCTTCATTAGAGGAGCTCTATTCAACCAACTAAAGAAGCTACTTCTCAGAGACAGGCAGGCAAACGATTTGTCGCTTAGATCAAAGAAGAAAAACAAGCAGTCATAGAGAAAATAACTTGGATTGTACTGTACTTCAAAAACCTTTCAGCATAATTACATCCTTGTAAATGTACTGATGCATGATCAATAATCCAGGTAGATAAATCTAACAAGGTTGAGTCAGGTCCTCTGGACAGATTCTTCTTTGTTGAAACGTTTCATCTTTCATCCAAAAGACTTCTTCAGTCTGAGGAGCTACAACAGCCTTAAAAGCAACATCTTCTCATAGTAGATCAGTCAGTTTGCTGGTGACATCCAAAACTTGTTGTTCACGTGCAAAAGGAGGACCATCAGCCTATCGACTGATTGTTAGTGCCCTGATGGCTGTTTACTATTCACAGAGTGCTGAGTGATACTAGCAATAACAGCATTGTAAGAGGGGAGCGGTTAAACATGGAGGCCTTCATCCTGTTTAATGATGGACAAATTATCTTCACAAAGATGGCCTCCTTTACTCCTCTCTCAAGCCATCGTTCCTCTCTATCCAGGATGTGAACATCTTCATCCCTGAAAGAGTGGCCGCCTGTCTGGAGATGAGTGTAGACCGCAGAGTCCTGGCCTGATGATGTTGATCTTCTGTGCTGGTCCATCCTTTTGGCCAGTGGCTGTTTAGTTTCCCTGATGTAAGACCTCCTGACACTGAACAGCATACACAATATTACTCTGTTTGTGCCAGGGGACTGGATCTTTGGGATGAACCAGTCTTTGCTGTAATGTGTTTTGGGGTTTGAAAGCAACTGGGATGTTATGTTTAGAAAATAAACATCTGAGTTTCTCTGAAACTCCTGCAACAAATGGAATGACCACAGGTCTGGGTCTAAGTCTGGGTTTGGGATCTTCCTTTCCACCTAGTGGCTGACTGGAGTCCTGTTTGGATTTCTTCTCTGCTTTCAGGAAGGCCCATTTAGAATATCGACATTACTCCAGAGCCTGCCTTGTGTGGGATTTCACCTTCTCGCTGGCCCCAGAGGCGGCTGTGGCTGAGTGGTTAGAGCAGTCGTCCTCCAATGCAAGAGTTGGGGGTTCAAATCCACCAGCAGTCACATACCAAAGTGTCCATGGGCAAGACACCGAACCCCTCATTGCCTCCGATATGTGTCCCATTGTTGTATGAATGTGAGCTAAAGCTCTGATTAGTCTGTTTAGAATGATTTGTTCACTTAGCTTTGTAGTGATCTAGTAGAGCGCTGTATGAATGGGTAAATGAGGCACAGATTTTATTGTAAAGAGCTTTGAGTATCTTGATTGGATAGAAAAGTGCTATATAAGTACAGTTCATTTACCATTCCTGAGTTTTTGGGGACGCGGTTCGCTCTGTAGTACAGAGTTCTGATGACTTCTAACTTGTAATAATATAATGATAATGTATTTGGGCTGTATTTTAGAGTGAAAAGTGAACAAGGCCTCACAGCAAGAAGGTCACCAATTTGACTCGGCTGAAGCCCATCTAGCTGATTTGTGCATGTTCTCCTCATGTTTGTGTTTTTTTATTTTTTCAGGTAATATGGTTTCCTCCCATAGCCAAACAACATGCTTGTTACAATAATTACAACTTTAAATTGTTCCGAGGTGTGAGCATGTATCATTGTCTGTTGTATTTGTCTCTGTGTGGCCCTATGATGGACTGATGACCTGTCCAGGGTCTACCCCGCCTCTCACACAATGACCCCTAGAGGTGTACACAAACAAGCCAGTCAAGAAAACAGACAGACAGATATATAATATCCATCCATTATATTTACCCATTTCTCCCTTTCGCAAGGTTTGCTGGAGCCCATGGCCAGTTGAGGTTTTTTTCACCCTGAACAGGTCGCAAGTCCATCAGCGACACATACACAAACAACGATCGCACTGTCACTAAGGGACAATTTAGGTTTACCAGTTAACCCAACATGCATGTTTTTGATCTTGTGGGAGGAAACCAGTGTGAGAAAACCTATGCATTCACATGGAGAGCATGCAAACTCCACCAAAAAAGGTCCCAGGACGGGTTTTGATCCAGCGACCTTTTTACTGAGTGTCAACAGTTTTACCAACTGCACCACTGTGCTTCCTAATATATTATATTGAAATGCCAATGGTACTTAGGAAAAGTACTCTTTTTGATCATACATTGACTTTAGTACAAAATCAGTTTAAGCAAAAAGAAGGTTTAGGGCTACATTTTGTTTGAACAGTTCATTGTTTTCAACAAAAATCTTAACATTATAACTGAAACAAATATAAAAACTAACACGCCACATTTTGATAAAACTTGAAATAATGAGTTTAATTTATGTTTATTCCTTTTTACCTTTCACTGTGTAGGAAAATAAAGTACAACACAAAAGTAGTTCCTATTAGTTAACAAATCGTTCCCTCGGGGAGGAGTTAAGCATTTGTTAAGCAAGTTTTTATAAGTTTTTAATTTGCAAAGGATGCAACACACACACAGCTAAAATTATTTTTAGATAATGAAAAAAATAAAAAATAAATATTGCAGCACTGACAACTTATTTTTACTTCACTATTTCCATTTTAATAGAAAAGGTCCTTGTGAGCGTCTTTATTTGCTATAGAATGCTGTGCAATTTATTTTATGAGAAGTATCTCAGACTCATAAAAGAACAGATTCTGAAGATCTGATGAAAGTATATAGTATGATAACATTTGAAAATATGCAGTGTAAAGTATAAAAAGTAAAATATACCAGAGAACTTAAGCATTTTTAGCCAAGTAAATTAATCCAGATACTTCTCCCATCCTTAAAAAAAAACACATGCTTCACATATTATAAGTTTTTTTTTTTTTTTAATATATAAACCTTTCTTCATTTAGCTCTAAAAATACTGGACTATTTTATGTAAATGTTTTCTTATCTGTATTCTAAAATGCTTACAATTCGAAATGATTTTCCTTATGTCTTATTTAAGTGGAGCAAACGTGGCATTATTGTGACAGCCGAACATTGTTTGGACAAAACGCTGGACAGCCAACATCATTTTGTGTTCTGCAAATAAAGCAATTTTTTTTTTCTTTTGTCGCCAAGTGCAGCCTCTCCTCTGTCAGCAATCTCTTTTCACCGCCCACGGGTATTAATCCTGTTCATGTGTGCTTTCATGTTTTAACATTTCTCCAAGTCCACATAGAAATGTCAGAATCGTGAAGCACTTGTCACTGGAGGATGTGGCAGTTCCAACATTGCTATTTAAAATATCTCGCAGACTGATATTAGGCCTCTGTCTAATTCTCTTAAATAAATTATTTTTCCAAAAGTAAGAAATTGTGTATTGAAACTAGGAGCATAAAGGATATGACAGCTTTGCTCACCATTACCTCGGATTTATTGTACTCTTGATCTGAGATGACTTTATGCGCAATTTTGTGCTCTGACTTTAAGCAAGATCTGTTGAAAACCTGCATACAAACGTCATGCTGAAAGATATGCACACCATTATTTTAAAGATGATAAACCGCACAGCAGCTGGTATTTTTATGCCGACATATAAATGATATAAGTTCAGTCACACAAAAAGCTTCGCTGTGATGATACGAGCGGTCATTATCACATAGTTAGTGGCAGCTTTAGGAGCGCATAAAACGCGACAGAATGAAAAACATTGGTAGTATTATCCGTCTGCGAAATCCGGAGATGGGATGCATGATTTACTGAAAACTGCACACACAGTATCTGCTCCTGTATCCCCAAAATCCGTCAGCTGGATTTTTACAGATAAATGAGAGAAACATGTATAAGATTAAGTGAAATGATTAAAGCTGTCATGGGGGGAGTCAGTGTGCATTTAACCTCTGAAAAGACATTGCTTAATGTTTTAGACCAGATAAGTAGCATTAGCCTTAGACAGCTTATAAGTTCAGCCTCATGCATGCTATTGGAATTCAGTGTCAAGATGATAGTGGCTGAGTGGGAATATAGGGATACTGTATATCTTATCTGTGGACCTCGGGTGTTAAATGGGCTGCCTATAGGATTATCAGAAGCCTCAGCAGATGTTCATTTCCAAAACATATGTCAAGGCTTAAACCTGGTGTAAACACTACCAGTGGACAGAGTTTATCAGTTTTGGAGCAGGCTTCATATTTACAGCCCCCAGGCAGTAAAGCTGAATATGTCAGCTCCACGAGCTTCTCCAATAACTGCACCATCACAATGGCATGTCTGGAATCATGGGGACGTTAAAGGAATTGTTTCAGTCTTTAAGAGTGGGGTTCTGTTGAAACACTATGAGCAATTAGTGTCTTACTTGTTGTAGATAGCTCTGTAAATGCCCACAATTTTAAGAAATGGGATGGTGGTTCAGTTGGTAGAGCTGTTGCCTCTTTGTGAGAAGGTTCAACTAAAATCCTGGACAGGCACTTTTCTGGGTGGAGTTTGCATGTTCTCTCCATGTACTCGTTTTTCTCCCACAAAGCAAAAATAGGCGTGTTTGTAACACTTACTACCTCTTAGTGGTAACTTTTTCTGCTTAGCAAGGCTAAAGTAGCTTTTTTCATTCCTATAAAAATTCTGATCTCAAATATTTTATAGTCGTTCATGCAGATGCCATTTTGAAACCTTTACATCTCCATTATGTTCACGTGTATATGTAAACATATATATATAAACATGTTTTAAACCCTTCCCACACTCTTGCATACTCTTATATATATACATATACATTATATATATATATATATATATATATATATATATATATATATATATATA